TCTCTCTCTCTCTCTCTCTCTCTCTCTCTCTGTTAGCTCGCTCTCAATCTCTCTCTTTTTCAGTGGCACCATACAAATGCATTCCCTTTCTGTGCTATTTTGCTTCATATCTGTTGATATATCACTCTCTAGGCCACAAGGTCATACAGGGAACAAATTAGACCTGGTCTTCATTAGAATTTGAAGGTACATTCCTTGTTTCATGTCTTATCTTCTGAGAAATGACCCTTGCATGCAGGTTGAGTGACTTTAATTTCAGCTGAGAAAAGTGCAAGCAGAAAGTGCTCTTACCAAATCCAAGCTTTTAAAGTTTACAGTTAAGCATCACTATTTCTGATGCTTCGTGGTTATAAAAGAGAAACACAATCCTCTCTAAAACAACAACTGCTAACCAAAATCATAAATAGCCCTCCACGTTTTTGCTTTGGCTAATATTCTGATAATACTTCTCATATTGATTGTTATAGCACTATGTTGGCTGCACACTGAACAACAGTAGCAGGTAAATATGCCATAAGTGCCATTATGCTGTTCCTGCAAATACCATGAATTGAGGTCAAATGGGAAATGGGACATCCCCAAGAATAAGCTATCAGCAAAATCATGTCAATATCAGGATTCAGCCTCAGCCTCCAACCTAGGCCAAGAGATTTGGAGGCCCTTAACAGGGAACTGGAATTCTTTTTATTTCTTTTTTTTTTATTCTGGCATCTAGAAATTCTATTGCACTTGATTGCATGCAAAATTCATGGAAATGGAGCTTGTTCTTTTCCCTTAAGATTGTGGATTCCTCTAAGATCAGATTCTTGGAATGCAGAGCAGCTCACTCACAGTAGATAGTGGGATTTTATAGGGAGGAAAAGTCAAGCAATTACTCTCCAGAGAGACAACAAAGAGAATATCCTGTGTCTAAGGGAAAATTAACCTTGTGGGGAAGTCAATTGTGACTGAGAAACGAGTGTTGATAATCAATCCTATTAAAACGTTTTTTTCCTCCAAAATATCTAACATGGAAAAAATAAATAAATAAAACCCAATGTTCACAAAAACTGAAATGCAAGAAAATCGCCAATTTTGGCCTTTATCACTACATGAGCAGAAAAGGTTAGAAATATTTAAATTCTGCCTACTTAATTGGGCAAACTCTCACTGATTCCTTACAGTAGGAATTAAATTGTGCTCTTGTTTTTAACATGGGTCAAGAAGAAATTCTCATATTGCCAGGTTTATCAAGGTGTATCTGTAAATGATAAGAGTAAGAAATGAAAGCATTTATAAGAAAGGGAAGTAATGGGTGAACAATCTTGGTGGTTTGTTTCCACACGAGAGCAAAATGAAACCTTTTATAATAACTACAAAGGTAAGTAGTAAGTTAACAGTGTGCCTTTTATGACAACTATACTATCCAACATAATTTTGCTTGCTGTATTCAACTCTGGACAAGAGCACATAGTCACGTTACACATCGATTTGTTTACATCTTGGCCTCACATCTAGACTATCCCCCTGAGAACTGGACTATCAGATAGACTTAGGATTTTCTAAGTACTTTCTGCTTCCATGGGAATTCAGGTATTAATCTCAAGGTATGACTTGGCATAAGATTTTTTTCTGTATTTTAGGTGCTTGAAACAGATTGCACCAGGGCTTAATAGGCTGCCAAATCAGCAATTAACACACCTTCTCTATTTACAACCCCTCCCCACCATGTAGAATTTAATTCTCAACTGTAGAACATCATCTTTCCACTTTCTTCCTAATTATAATCTGCCTGCCCAGTATGTTTCCATTAAGAATGCTGGAAAGATTAAGAGCAAAGAAACTTTAGAAAGAGGTGAGCCATAAGAAAATCTATTTCTACAAAAGAAAGTTTAGAAAGATGAAAATTTCACTAGCTGATTAAAGTTGAAGCTGAAAATAAGTAGGTCATAATATACCAATTCTACACAATTTTAATTTATGTGTTGATCCCCAAATATCCTAGAACTGTAGACAATAATAAAAGTGGGGAAGAGAGCTGGTGGGATGAAAAGACCACTAAGGTTTAAAAGAATAATCTGGAACTTTTTATTTAAATTCTGTTCCTCCAAATTCAAAGGAGTAAGCAAAGTCACGTTTTGCACTGAAACAGAAAGAAAGTTGTCACTTTCCAAAAGTGAAATTAGGGAAGGAAGAAAATTGAACTATTATTTACTGCTCGGCCCTAAAAAGGAATGAAATCCTATTATTCACAGCAACATGAACGAGCCTGGAAGACATTAGGGTAAGTGAAATAAGCCTGGCACAGAAAGACAAATACCTTCTCTCACATGGAAGCTAAAAGAAAAAAAAAGAGTTGAGCTTATAGAAGTAGAAAGTAGAATTGTGGTTACTAGAGGCTGGGAAGAGGAGGGCAGCGGGGCCTAGGGAGAGGTTGGTTAACAGAAATAAAGTCACAGCGAGGTAGGAAGAATAAGTTCTAGTAGTCTACAGTAGTGCTAGGTATCTATAATTAACAATAATTTATGCTATCTTCTCAAATGACTAGAACTAGAAGAGAGGAGCTCAAATGCTCTCATCCAAAGAAATGATAAATTTTTGCAATGATGAATATGCTGATAACCCTAATTTACTCATCCCATATTGTATACTTGTATTGAAATACAAGTCTGGACCCCATAAATACATACAATCAATACGTGTCAATTAAAAAATAAAAAAACTGTAGCCCTGTAAATGTGCCTCTTTAACTTCAATTGTTGA